GTGCAGCTGACACCAGAGAACCAACTCATTCAGGTTTGATACTTGGCTTGAACAGTCTTGTTGGTTTATTGTGTTGCTGTGCAGTACATTCTTACTCGCAACTTGTCACATATTGACGCTTGGTCCAGGTTCCCTCTGTGTCCGGTTGTGACACAGGGTAACCCCTCGCATCAGTTATTGACAAAATGAGAACAAGGAGGAGGAGCCCCTTGTCATATTTTTGAAAAGTGTGGAAAATGTGCAGCAACTAACTGTCCCAAACCCTTAACTTAATTTTTATTAGCCCTAGACATCCAATCCTTGACCTCATACCCAAAACTAACCAGTAACCCTGATCCCTAATRTTAACCATGGAACCCAACCCAAAGACCCAATGTGGTGCATCAACAACTAATGCAAGGGGGTTACCCAACACGTCAAAACTGGACACAGAGTGAACCTGTACCAAGTGTCAATGTGACGAGTTGGGAGTGATAAAGTGTTGTGTAGTGAGAATCCTGTTGAAAGTGAGTTTTTTTCTTTAAAATTATCAAAATTGTCTCCACCTTATCAACATGCAAACGGTGTTTCAAGTCCATTTTGAAAACATCATTATGACTGCATAATGGTTTAGTGAAGTCATATTGGTTCTATGTTACCCCAAGTTCTATGTTCCATGTTCCAAGAGCCAGCTTTGGTAGACCAGGGTCAGAGGACCAAGGTCTCTGCCTTTGGCTACTGCCCATGGCATCGTGCATTCGACTAGTACTGCCCCTCCTGCAGGTGGTGGTCCTRCAGGAAGGCAAACCCATATAGCTCATTTGGGCTGAGCCCGGCTAGGTACCATGGGTAGAGACCTGGCCACCAGGCACTCGCCAATGAGGCCCTCCCCCAGGCCTGGCTCCAGGGTGGGGCCCTTGTAACCCATGTTCGGGTAAGGGACACAGAGTATCTTGATCTTCTGTGTCCATATGAGTCAGTTGAATCATTCTTTGTCTGGCTGGTGAAAGTGTAAACAAGATAAAATTGCATTTAGTTGTTTATAATATTCATATAAACACAAATTTAGAAATATGCATTTAACCATCATAGTAACATATACTAACAAATCACAACTAAAGCTGTGCTGAATCTAAACCAACAAAGAATACAGTGTAAAACACATTTAAAACATTAAAATAAATAATAAATCAGTATTAATCCATACTGTGCAAGTAACAAACATTAGCATTGTGCTAATTAGCTGCTAATAGAAAACTGCTAGCATTATGCTGATCTCTCCAGAACACTCATGCAGGAAAAACGCATTTTCTTGATAGTTTACAACACAAAAATAAAACTACACAGTTTAACAATAATTAATCTTGCAATAATAAACAAATTACCATGTTGGCAATGTAGTTRACTGTAAATGTAGATGCTTTGTTACATTTTTTGAGATGTTTGYCACTTCTGGTTTTGGCAGAGTTAATTACGGTTTTCACGCAAAGTATTTCACAACAAAAATTAACAATCTATAGAGCCCCCTAGTGGAAGGGAGGYAGTTAATCCAACATCCCGCCTCTACCAAATACACATTAATACCTTTATCCCTTTATCAAAATAAAAGAAAAAAGGGAAAAACTAGAAACTTCTATTTGGAGAAGAAAAAAATAGAAATATACAGTTTTTATCATTAAAATAGAATTGTTTTGGTGATTTTTTTATGTACAAATAATATATTGGTATTCTTTACCTTTGAGCAGATAAGGCTGTATCTCTTTTGTTGAAGTGCTAAAGACAAACGTGAAAGTTGTATTACGTAGGATTTCCCAGTATTTTAAATAGTGAGCTTTTTAGCAATATCCAAAGATTAAAATTAGATTATCTTTTTAGGGCTTGCCTTCCTCTGTCTTCATTCAATTGGATGTCTGAACCTTTTTCACCTCAAAAGTTTCTCAAAGGTATTTATTTTTGTATAGTCATATATTGATGCGGCCCGAACAGCAACATGCACCCCTACAAATATTATATCAAAATGACCGACTCGGCAGTGGGAGGTGTGCTATTAATTTTAGTGGCATTTGAGTTATCATGGTGATGTAAATCACAAAAAACTCATAGGAAGGCTCTGAGCCCAGCTCTCAATTGCCACCCTCCGAGCCATGTGACCTAGAGTGACAGCGGTCTGGATTTTAAAATATTACTTAGTGAATAACTTGCTCCTACAGCCACAATTTTCATGACACACAGACAAATTTATTTCAAAAAGTAGGCATTTTTGTCTTCTTTTAGCCAATATTTCGATTTTTGATGTAGGACAAAGGGTTTTATCTCAAATTTTGTCAGAAGTCAAGTACCACTTCTCTTCATTTCTTTCTGTATGTACTGTAAGTTTTTTTTTGTCACAATGCAGTTCAGATGCAAATCAACAATTCAATTCTATCTCTGAGTTAAACCACTGTAAAAATTTGAAAATTTCCATGAGTAAGAACCAATCTCTTCTATCACTCACAGTACAAGAAATATTTGAATAGACTTTATAGATTTCACACAGCAGCTGGTTGTCTAAACTAAACTTTTCAGAGATTTTTCATGTTGACAGTAAAGGCCTCTGCGTACTCCATCCGAAGCCGAAGAGTCGATGTGCAGTCACGTGGTTTTTTTGGTGTTCGTTTTCACACACACCTTTCATAGTCGCTGAGACACCCTGCACCGAGCTCCTGGGGAAACCCCTCCCCGCTGCAGCATAGGTCACTACAGGGGGGGTTCCTCCCGCTAAAGTTCACAATGTGGGGAAAAAAAGTCAGAGACTCGTCATCCGATGTTATTTATCCACAAAAATGTCACAGTTAAAGCTCCAAAGTTTTTATCAGTTAGATTCCACCTGGCAAAATGCTTATTTTATCTCCATCCACGTGTTTTTGGCCATTTGACTGTCTATAAAATGCCTCTTCCTGCTCCAACAGGCGGCTCATAAACGAGTTGCCTTTTTTTGTTTGTTTGAAGCGAGTGGTTAAAACAAAATGCAGCTTCTGAGCGCTTTCAGCACAAACACTCCCACAAACTTCAGACCAATCACACAATAAGTTCATATG